TACCTGCAACAGCACCAGCTGCAGCAAAAGCACACACTCACAATTTCACACACAAACACACACACACACACACTCACCTGCAGCAGCACCAGCTGCAGCACAAGCAGCAGCTGCTGAAACAGCAAAAGCACACATTCACAATTTCACACACACACACACACACACACACACACACACACACAAGATCCCGAAAGCAAAGTTTGTACTTTTAGGAACACAAAAGCAAGCAAGGACAGCGGACATGCTACACTCAAGGTACTCTTTCGCTAAGGGCTGCTCGTCCTCCTCCCCTGACTGTTCCTCCCCGTGAGACTCCGCCTGCGACGGGTCCTCCTCCAACTCATCCCCGTCCGGCACTCCACTACCGTCCGGCTCTCCGCTGCCGTGCTGCGACATTTCCTCCTCCTCCTCGTTGTTCTCCGACGCATGGCCCTCCAAGGTGTACACGAACGCGGGATCGGGCTCTTCAACACCGGACTTCCTGCGCAACTCCCGCACTCGCTGTTTCCCGGGCTTCGTGTTGGCATGCCATGCTCTCTCCAGCGCACCGAGTGCAACAATGTCGTCCTCATCATCTGCAAAGTTATCCTCGTCTTTGTTGTGCAGCCATGTGCGCTCTAGCGGGGCATCATCGGATTCGTCTACGCAGACCTCCGTTGCAGCAGCGTCGCCGGCTGTCCCTTCCCTGACCTGTGCGGCCCATTCGTCGTACCACTCATCCACTTCCACTCTCGCCAGTTGGTCATCCTTCCATGGAATGTGGATGTCTTCCCTGTCCCCTCGCTCTCTCCGCGTCGCCAATTGGATATTCCAATTGTTGTACACAAGCTTGCTCAATCTCTCCGGCATGAGCTTCGTGCGGCGTTGGCCGTAAATGAGCTGGTGCAAACTCCAATTTCGCTCGCACGCAGCCGATGAGCTCGCCTGCCCAAGGAGTTTGATAGCCTGCGGTTGGAGGAGGTCTAGGGACCCCCCGAACGCCTCCCACCATAGCGCCGGAGTCTTCGTACTCGCCTGATCCCTTGCGTTCTGTGTCCCCAAAGTGGCCAATCCCTGCAACCATGTGTCCACCTGTCTGATGATATCACTCTGCAGCAACTCCGGCGGCGCCCAAGAATAAAGCCAGATGTTGAACCCCTCACGAATCTCCGTGTCTCGCAAGGTGTGCGTCCTGTACTCGGGGTCGAGGAAGGCGGCTGCGCAATGCAGCTCCAATGTCATAAAGGCCCACCGGTCCGTCAGAATCTTCTCCACATCCGCCTTCTCAGCCTCCGACAGACACTCCAAGGTGCGGATTTTCGCCACAACAGCGTCCATGCCAAAGTAAACTTTGCTCATAGTTGCTCCGGGACCGTCCACCAGACGAAGGAGCTTGACAACTGGCTCCATCACCGCCATGGCCTTATCGACATCCTTCCAAAATTCGTTCGTGTCCATGATGATGTGGGTGACGGCGTTGAATGCCGCCACTTGCTCCCCTCTCACCAACTTCTCCACCCACGCCGCGTTACAGACACAGAGCTCCAATGGATTCCTCCCCGTCTTCAACGACTGAAGCATCTCAAAGTTAGTGGCGAATCTTGTGACTGCCGGACGCTTGAGTTGCGCATTCGCAATCCTGTTGTACATCGCACGGACCTTGTCGACGTTGGTGAAGAACTTGCCAACTTGATTGCCCTTGTCGACGACCGCTTTCATCCAGTCCATGCACTTGTACATGTCCTCCAGGGCCAGATCCAAGGCATGCGCTGTGCAGCCCACACAAAAAATACCAGGGTACTTGGCCTCCACCATCTTCCCCGCTTTAGCGCAAACCCTCGCATTGTCCATCACAACACCGACAATGGACCCCGCACCGATCTCCTAGATCACCCCGTCCAGCAAGTTGAAGTACGCTTTCGAATCCTTCTCTCTCCCCTCCATGCAGACGGACTTCCAAAACACCGTTCCGACTGGGGAAGACACCATGACGTTCAGGTGCGGTTTGTTCCTCTGGTCCGACCACCCGTCCATCTGGAGCATGCACCTTGTTCTCTCCCACCTCTTGACTAGTGACTGCGTGTCTTCCCCACCAACCTAAACTGCCCATCCAACCTTTTCGTCCTCATCTCGTCCCTCTTGCAAGGCCACCAACTAGGATGGCACTTCTTCACAGCGTCGACGAACTCGAGGAAGTAGTAGTTCTCCACCAGGCTGAACGGCTGATTCGTGCAAATCAGAAACCGATCCATCTTTCGACTCGTCTGCTCGTTCTGGGTGATGATACTGTCCGCCTCCTCTATCAAAGTTTGTCTCACCGACCGTCCACCACTTCCAGGGGCAGGAGGGAAGCATGTCCCAGATCCTGCAGGCGAGGGCATCTCACCATCACTTGGCCTCTCTCTTGGTGATGACGGAGGCACGAAACTGCCGGAAGACGGTCCTGTGGTCGGACCACTACTCCCACCAGTTGCACCTAGTAGCTGACTGGCCTGGTGCTTCCCCAGCCGGATGCCCTCGACTCTCATCACCCTCTCCTCCGCTGTCAATGCCCAAGTGACAAGATCAATGCTGCACTTTTTCATAAAGTGCTTCTTCAAGACCGACTTGTTGCCCACGAACCGAGTCTCGCAATAGTTGCATAGCCAGTGCCTCGACCCCTTGCTGGGGTCCTTGCCGTGAGGACCTTCATCAGTGAACTGCCTCGCAAGCGACTGGTAGATCTGCTTCGCCAGCGCCATCGAAAGCTTCACCTGCGCACACACAATCCAAAAACAGACCAGGCGTCAGCCCCTCTTCAACTTTTTTCAATTGATTGAGAGAGAGAGAGAGAGAGAGAGAGAGAGAGAGAGAGAGAGAGAGAGAGAGAGAGAGAGAGA